CGCTCCCGCCCAAGACTTTCTTCCATTTTACACTGGACTGGCGCCCAACTCTCTTTTGAATTGGCGCCGCTCCCAGCAAGAACAACGATCCCGCTCGAGATTTCCTTTTTACCTCAGAAGAGAGTTTCTAGTGGTCTCAAAAGAGAGCATCATGACTCCTCAGGGGGGTCTGGGCGGGACCCGGGGAGCTGCCGCCGAAGCCGAAATCGCGTGGGACATCCTCGCAAAATCGCTCTTGGTGCTCCCAGAACTCCATTCTGGGGCCACATTTTGGATGCCCGGAGCCAACTGTAGGCCACTTCGTGCTCTTCGACTTCCCAGAACTCCATTCCAGGGCCACATTTTGGATGCCCGGAGCCAACTGTAGGCCACTTCGTGCTCTTCGACTTCCCAGAACTCCATTCCCGGGCCACATTTTGGATGCCCGGAGCCAACTGTAGGCCACTTCGTGTTCTTCAAGTTCCCAGAACTCCATTCCTGGGCATGATTTGGAATGCCCGGAGCCAACTGTAGGCCACTTCGTGTTCTTCTAGTTCCCAGAACTCCACTCCTGGGCCACATTTTGAATGCTGAGGCAGGCTGATGCTGCGGCCGAGGCAGGCTGAGGCTGAGGCAGGCTGAGGCTGAGGCCGAGGCTGAAGGCAGACTGAGGCTGAGGCTGAAGCAGACTGAGGCTGAGGCTGAGGCAGGCTGAGGCTGAGGCTGAAGCAGGCTGATGCTGAGGCAGGCTGAGGCTGAGGCTGAGGCTGATGCAGGCTGAGGCTGAGGCAGGCTGAGGCTGAGGCCGAGGCTGAAGGCAGACTGAGGCTGAGGCTGAAGCAGGCTGAGGCTGAGGCTGAGGCAGGCTGAGGCTGAGGCAGGCTGAGGCTGAGGCTGAGGCAAGCTGAGGCTGAGGCTGTGACTGCCATTGCCGCTGCGATTGTCATCGCGAATGCGACTACGACTGCGAGAACAGCAGAATTCTACAACTGGAATTTCATCTGAATCTTAAGGGGAATGTTTTCAGATATGCTTCTACACATCGCTGTTAGGTTGCTTCGCCGGGATAATATTTTTCCTGAAGACGGTGCTGTTCCTCGCCGCTGACAACCCCCGTCCCGACAAAACCATGGCTCCCGCTCGATGTTTCCTCCCTTTTTGCTCAAGGCGGGCCTCCCCCTCGCCGCCGAAAGCCGCCGCCCCGACAAAACCAGCGCTCCCGCCCGAGACTTCCTTCCGTTTTACGCTGGGTTGGTGCCCTACTCTCTCTTGAATTAGCGCCGCTCCCAGGAAGAACAACGCTCCCGCTTGAGATTTCCTCAAGCTTTCCTCGGGGCGGTGCTGTTCCTCACCGCCGACAGCCCCCGTCCCGACAAAACCACGGCTCACGCTCGATGCTCCCTTTCTTACTCAAGGCGGTGCTCCTCCTCGCCGCGGAAAGCCGCCGTCCCAACAAAACCAGCGTTCCCGCTCGAGACTTCGCTGATTTGCGCCGCTCCCAGCAACAACAGCAGCCCTGCTCGAGACTTCCCCCCTTTCTGTTCAGGGCCAGGTCCTTGCCTCACCGCCGACAGCCCCCATCCCCACCAAGGAAACCCTGTCGCTCGATACCTCCTTGTGTTTGTGTTTTACTTTCGCTGGGGTTCCACTGGCGGTCTCGCATCGGCGCAACAAGGCGCGGGCATGTGTTTTCGAGGCGGGATGTCGAAATTCCTCGGATGACGTGCTTGCAAGACCTCAATGGGTTGGAAATCTAGGAATTGGAATAACGGACCCCGCTACAGAACAAGAGTCCCCCATGATGTGGATGGTTATCGTGATGGTCGCATGCTTTGTGTGGAAACATCGCGCAACAGGGTATACTGATTGTTGTTGTTGTTGGTGTTGTTGTTGTTGTTATTGTTGTTGTTGTCGTTGAACTCTCATTTCTGAAGAATACTTATTGTTGATTTCCCTTCTCCGGTGCATGCTGTTTTTCGCTATCAAAGTGTGCCCCATCGACACTCGCACAATGTTTTTTGACAGGGAGTCTTGGCGCTCAAACTGGGCCCCTGGCCCCCCGGGATCACAACAACAACGGCTCTCGCCTGAGACTTCCTCCAAAGTTACTCAGGACCTCCGCTCCTGAGACTTCCTCACAGTTTATTCAGGATCGGCGCCCCCGCCTGTGACCTCCTCGCAATTTAGTCACGACCCCCGCTCCCATCTGAGAATTCCTCACAATGTACTCAGGAACGGCGCTCCCGCTTGAGACTTCCTCGAGACTTCCTCGCAATTCAATCAAGACCCCCGCTCCCGCCAGAGTCCTTCACATTTTACTCAGGAGCTGCGCTCTCGCCTGTGACCCCCATGCAATTTATTCAGAAAGCGCGCTGTCGACAGGAAACGCGCTGCGCCAAGGACGCCGCTACAATTTACTTAGTAATCGCGCTCTCGCCATACTCAGGCATCCCGCTTGAATGTCCCACCCGCCCGACCCGCCCGTCAAGGGATCGCCCGCCCGTCGTGGGCTCCCGCCCGAAACGTCCTTCAGGAAAGGCGTTTTCGCCTAGGACTTCCTCGAACGTTCACGCTCTTACCTTCCTGCTCCTCCTCGCTCTCCCTCCTCCCTCCTCTCCTTCGTTCTATATCCCTCCTCTCTCCCCTCATCCTTACGCCTCTCTGCCCTATCCCCTCTCCCTCCTCTCCCTCCTCCCTTCTCCCTCCCTTCTCCTGCCCCCTCCCTCCCTCTTTCTTTCTCTCTCTCTTCCCCCTCTCTCTCTCTCTCTCTTTCTCTACCTCTCTTATATGCCTGTTTTTGTTGTTTCTCTCTCTCTCTCTGTCTCTCTCTCTCTCTCTCTCTGCCTCTTATCAACCGCCACCATGTTCGCTCCTTCTCTCCTGGCGTTTTCCCTCTTCCTTCGTCCCTCCCCCTCCCTTCCTCCCACTCTCCCTCGTTCTCCCCCTCCTCTTTTTGCAAGGCCCACACCAATTCCAATGGCGGGCACATGTACGCCCACGAAGCATTGTCCGCCCGTTCAAGTTTGCCCGCCGCCCCCCGCATAGAGAAAGAATGCCCCCAAAGGGGGTGTGATCGAAGACAGAAAGTGCGGGTGTGTGGGGGGAACTCGTTTTGAATGACACGCGGGCAAGTAAGAGCGAACACTATTATAATAATTGTTGTTGTTGTAGTTGTTTGGCATGCTTGCTTGCTTGTTTGTTTGCTTGTTTGCTTGCTTGTTTGTTTGTTCGTTTGTTTATGTGTTTGTTGCTTGTTGTCGTCACCCCACCCACCACCCACCCGCGACTCAACCCGCGACCAATCCGCGACCCACCCCGCGACCCACTCCGCGACCCACCCGCGCCCCACCCGCGACCCACTTGCGACCCACCCCGCGATCCACCCCGCGACCCAGTCGCGACCCACCCGCGACCCCCCCCGCGACCCCCCCGCGACCCACCCCGCGACCCAGTCGCGACCCATTTGCGACCCACCCGTGACCTACTCACATTGGTTTGGCGAAACAATCGGCGCCTGCGGCGGGCTCGTTGTGTAATTTGTGAAACTTTGGCGCCTGCGGCGGGTTTCTCCAGAGTCTCGCAGACTGCCGACGTCCCCACCGCCCCCATCACTCTTATCCGCATGTGAGCGTTCTCTTATTCGGCGTTTCGACATTGGGCGGAAGGGGGTGAGATGGGGGGGGAGATCTGGCTCTGGACCTCTGCTTCGCGCGACTGCTTGGAACAGCGCGCCTCGTGGGGGAGGCCCCACCTGCTCGAAGCGGGCTACACGAGAAACAGCAGAGATATCCACTCAGGGGGGGGGAGGGGGGGGGGGGAGGGGGGGGGGGGGTGCGCGGGCCCGCGCCGATCGGCAAAACCATGCAGAAAAAGCCGACCACCATCTGCGGGGTGCTGCGAATATCTACAGTCATCGGCCTGACCTAAGGAACGATAAATCAGGAACGAAGCCCCTTTTTCATCCCAAGGAATAACGCACAAGGAACGACACATAACAAACAACGCATCAGAAACTGGACATAACGCATGCAAGACTAAGGAACGACCGAGCCCCTTTTGAAAAATAAGCGTTCCTTAGTCAAGCCGCTCACTGTCCTCCTCCTCCTCCCTCCTCCTCCTCCTCCTCCTCCTCCTCCTCCTCCTCCTCCTCCTCCTCCTCCACTTCCTCCTCCTCTATATCTATGTCTACGTCGTGCTCCGCTCCCCGAGCTCGGGCCGCACGCGAGGCGCCCGCGAGGCGCCCACGGTGAGGCCGCGCCGCGCGACGCCTCGGCGGGCCCGCCCCGGCGCACGGGGGTCGCTCGCGCGGCGCCGGCGGGGCGCCGCCGCGCGGCGGCGCGGGGAGCCCTTTGGCGGGCCTGCCCGGCGCACGGGCCGCCCACGAGGTACTCTGAAGGGGCACCAGGACACACAGATGAATGCACACAAAGAAAAAGGATTCCCCATGTTTTCCTATGTGTTCTGGGCTTTTGTCTTCCCCGCCACTTCCCATGCTTTCCCATATTTTCCGAGGAAATGTCCCATAGTTTCCCATATTTTCTGGGGAAGCACCTGCGGGGGGGCAGCGCGGTGACACCTCGGAGAGCCACTTTCCGATTCCTCGGGGGCAGGAGCTGCTGGCCATCGCTCGGACGTCCATTCCCTGTATTTTGTTCGGTTTCGTGCGTGGTTTTTTTTTCGCCAAATGATCACGGATGCTCCTCGATGGTCCTCGCCGAAAGAAAAATGCACACGTCCGAGCGATGCCAAGGAAGTAGGAGCCCCCGAGTGAAAGCACTGTGCGTATGGGGGGGGAACTGGCGCAAGCACGCCGTTGCCTCGCGCCTGCATCTTATCGCGGCTGCTCCAGCGCGTTCTCGATGCTGATCGACGGATACTCCGCGGGCTGTCTGCCAGAGCGCAGGAGTCAACGCGAGAGAATGCGCGAATCTCATATCATGGTTGCTTCGGTCGCCTATTTGGACGGCTCTACAAGCCCCGAGCCCGCAGTGCTGACACCTCTTGGGTGCATGACTTTTTGCGTTCGCCATTTCCAACTTCGGTGGCAACTCGTGGGAGCCTCTCATACCATCTTGTCGGCTCTTGCGAACCGACGCTCATCGACGCTCGCCGACGCTAGATCGACGCTAGATCGACGCTAATCGCCGCTGGTCGACGCTATCTCATCGACTTCCAAAAGCTCATCGACGCTAAAGACGGAACGAAAATGGTACTCCAGATTTCGTAATAAAGGGAGGGGGGTCTCATTTCGGGGGGGTCTCTTCCAGGCTATCTTGGAGGGCCTGGGGGGTCTGGGGACGATGTTTCGGAGGGTTCTCCCACGGGGGAGGTCTGAAATGGCTTGTCTTGGAGGGTCCAGACCCCCTCCCTTTTATTACGAAATCTGGAGTACCAAATCCAGCGGCCCTCCGCGACCTTCCTCCAGCGGAGCCGCCCCCGTTCTGCTCCTGCTGGCTCCCGCCTGCCTCCCCCGCCACCCTCCGCCGAAGCAGGGACGCGCCGGCCTCCATTCGACCCCCTCGGAGGCGAGGCCCTGCCCGTACCCTCCCCGTGGCCGCTCGTGCGCTGGATGCGTTCGATCCTAAGGGGGCCGTGTCGCTGGCCTCGCCACCGCTCGGACGTCCATGCCCCGTGCATGTTCCGATGTCGTGCGTGCAGTCTTCGCAAAAGGGTCCACCAGGATGTTCCTCGGTGGCCCTCGCCGAGACACGAGGCACACGTCCGAGCGATGCCGGATGGATGATCTCGATCCCAATGGGAACCGTGTCGCTGGTCTGGAGTCTCATCGCGGTCACGCTCTGTCGCAGAAGAAATCCCTCGCGGGCGGGTGTAACTTTGCCTCCCGCCCGGCTGCCTCCAACTGCGAAGCGAGCCGCTCTATGGATCGAGAAGTGCTCCGGAGCTCCCCTCTGACCTCTCCCTCTCTCCTGGGGCGTCGCGTAATGGGGGGGCGATAAAAGAGGGGGGCGGGGTCAGCGAGGGCTGCAAAGAAGGAGCCCTTCATTGCCTCTACAGCGCCCCGTAGGGCCCGTACAGTGGCCCTCTCTACAGCGCCCCGTAGGGCCCCTACAGTGGCCCTCTAAGGCCTGAACAGTGCAGCTTCCTCCCCCCCCCCCACTCATCGCCCCCCCGTACAGCGACGCCCGATCTCCTCCCCTGCCACAACCCGGCAGGCGCAGCCGAAAAAAAATGGGGCGTGCGGCGCGCATCAGGCCGCCGCGGCGGAAACGCGAGCGCGGGCCTCTCACTCCGGCTCCTCGCCCTTGCAGCCCTTGTGCTGGTTCTTGCAGCAGTAGGCGATCTTCTTCGGGGACCACGACAGCTCCAGGCAGTGCATGCAGTGGTGGTAGCCCGCGTCGCAGTCGTACTGGCTCTTGTCCTCCTCGGGGGGCGCGTCGCCCTGCGGGAGGCCCGAGGGCGGGGGCAGCTCCGAGGGGCAGCCCTTGTTGGCGGTCTTGCAGCAGTAGAGCTTCTTCTCGCCGGACCAGCCGCGCACCCACTGCAGCGGGTCGAGATCGTTGTAGCCGGCATTGCAGTCAATCGGGCACGGGGACGTTGTGCTCCTCGCCGTTGTCATCACTGGCGCAACGGGAACGACCGGCGCTGGCATGGTGCTGGGTGCAGCCGGCGTCGTCGGGCAGCCCTTGCCCTCGTGCAGGCAGCAGTACACCTTCTTGGGCACGTCCCAAGACACGACGTCGCCCTCGCCACAGTTGATCTGCTTCTCCGTGGTCGTGGGCGGCGGAGGCGGCGGCGGGGGGGGTGGGGGGGGCGGCGGCGGGGGCGGGGGCGGAGGCGCAGCCGTCGTGGCCTTCGTGGTGGTGGCCTTGGTCGTGGTGTCAGGCGGCGGGGTGGTCGTGACGATCACCGGGGTGGTGGTCGTCGTCGTCGTCGTCGTGGTCGTCGTCGAGCCCGGCGCCATCGCGAAGAGCAGGAGAGGCAGCAGAAGGAGCGACAGCCCCAGGGGCACGAGGCAGACCAGGCAGAAGTTCGGGCCGCGCCCAGGGATGCGGACCGCCCCGAACTCGCCCGCGCCCATGCCCACGTACTTGTAGGTGGTTTCCTGGACGTAGTCTCCCCCCGGGCCCACGTAGCTCAGGATCGTGCCGCCGCCGCCGCCGCAGCCCGAGCCCTCGGCACAAGCCACGCCACACCCGGGGCCGCAGCCCATGCAAGCGGTGGTAGTCGCGCAGCACGCCGTGCCGCAGTCCGCGCCACCGCCGCCGTACGCACCGCCCGCGCCGTACGCACCGCCCGCGCCGTACATGCCGCTGGCGCCGTACGCGCGGCCCGTGCCGTACACGCCGCCGAGGCCGCCGGCGCCTCCACCGAGGCCTCCGCCGTACCCGTAGCGGTACGACATGGCTCCGCGGCGCTGAGGAGCTGCTGGTTAGCGCAAGGGGTCCCTGGGAGGAAGCCTGGAGCCCAAATGGCTCATCACAGTGCCGTCTGGGACACTCTGGAGCGTCTCGAAGCGCCTGTGGGCCATCCCATCTTGCGCCGTCCTGGGGCCGACTCGGGCTGTTTCTAATTTTCCTCCAGGGGCCCATCTCGTCCAGGAGGCTTTGAGCAGCTGGACCACGTGGTCGTGCCTACAGAGTGGCTGTCCGCCATTACTGCAGTTTGGAGCGATCGGCGACGACATCCGCAATGACATCATTTTCTTCAAGTGGTTGACTTGGATATCAACATTCCCAAGACAGGCCGGGCGCGTACTGAATCCAAGTGGACGTCAGCTTGCTCAGGGAGCCGGTCGCCAAACAGAAATACATGCAGCGTTTTGTGAAAACATCGACGAAACGACCACGGCACGAGTCCTTGAGCGAGAAGGCCATCGCAATTTCACAGTGTATGCTACAGTCTGCGGCCCCATCCCTCCCACGCTGGGAGGCAAAGGAAGAAAACGCCCATGGATATCCGAATGTAGCTTGGACCTCATCGAGGAGCGCAACAATTCACGACAGGGCGGTACCGACACCAAGAGCCTGAGCAAGGCGATCAAGCAGTCCACGAAAGCAGGCAAGCAGCGCTGGCTCATACAAAACACTCAGACGAACGTATGGGAAACACTAAAGCAATTACGCAAACCTGCTTCGCACAAATGTGGGCGACTCAGAAATACAGACGGAAATTTGGTGGTTTCTGCTGAAAGGGCTGCAACTATGGCAACATATTCGGCGACAATACAATGGCGACCACCTTCAGAAGATGATCCGCAGCCGCAGCCATCCAACAGACGAGCAGAGTTGCTATCGACGTCGGCCAGATCCAACTAGAAGAGACGATACAAGCAGTCAAACATCTTCGAATACAGCGTGCTGCAGGAACTGACGGGGTGTCACCCAAATGATGGAAATCACTATTGGAAAAGAATGGCGCGCTCGAGATAATGACGTCTTTATGAAACAGGTGCGCGGAAAAGGAAGACCTCCCCGAAGAGTGGAGAAAAGCAGCCGTTTTGACCATCTTCAAGAAAGGAGACACCTCTCTGCCTTCGAACTGCAGGCCAGTATCTTTATTAGCAGTTGGTTATCAGATATTAGCGAGCATCCTGTTACAACGACTTAAACGTGGAAAAACAAAAAAGACATTGCGCGAATCTCAATACGGCTTCAGACCACGACGCGGGACAAGCGAGGCATCGTTTCTGGCGCGAAGGTTGATTGACGCAGCGCTGAAGACAAAGATGGGAAATTACTTCTGCTCCTGTTGGATTGGAGTAAAGCATTTGACTGGAAAAGCCCAAAAGTCTTGCACAACCATTGCAACAGTTCGGGGTGCCAGCTGCGATGGTCGAGATGGTCCGGGCCATCTACAAGGTGCGTAAGTGTATCGTGCAGGATGGGGGCACGACGTCTTCGACATGGGCACAATCCGCTGGCATTGCGCAAGGTTGTCAGCTGTCTCCTTACGTGCTCATTATTGTTATGCCAGCTCTGTTAGATACAGTAGACGGACGCCTAAATTCGGAATGACCTGGAAGACCATCCAAACCATATGCGGTAACGCATGATGTGCTGTACGCAGACGACTCGATGCTCGTGACCATTGACCCTAGTACGCTTCAGGCGCATCTAAACCTGGCGGTAGAAATTGGGAAACGAGAGCGGTCTGATGGAAATATGCTTGGGCCAGATGGTGAAGCAATCGCGGTCAAGGAACATGCTGTTCATCTGGGCGGCCTCGTAAGTACAGACGGCAGACCACGAGCAGAGTTTACGCGGCGGCTGGGAGAAGCAACATGCATACTTAAAACATGTTGTACTGTTTGGAATCATGCCAACCTGACCAGAGAGCGGAAAACACACATATTGTATTCGTATGTCTTCTCCAAATTGTTATACGGGCTTGAGTCGTGCATGCTACTCAAAGCAGACAGGGATCGGACAGATGGCTTCCAAGCGAGATGTCTACGACGAATCTTCAACATTCTCCCCGCTTGGTTGTCTCACGTGAGCAACGCTGAGGTACGTCAGCGCGCGTGCGTCCATAGGGGGCCTCTTATGGGGCTCCTGGGAAGGCCCCAGGGAGCGTCTTCGAAATTAGCTGTCGGTCTAAAAGGCCTGCTTGTCGGAGAGGGCCTCTGGGGCTAGTCTGGACTTCCTTCCTAGGGCCGCTTTTGGCATCCTCTTGGAGGCGTGTCGTGCCCCTCTTGGGAGCTCGGTGTCCGTCTTGGGGCGATCTTGGGGGCCGTTTGGGCCTCCTTGGACGCTTTGGGAAGCAGAAAGGCATGAAGATGCGAGAAGACACTGAGAGCAAACAGAGTCAAACACTGTGCCTCTTCGGCTGGCTGCCTGGGCCTCAAGGGCGGCCACAGACATCCCTGGGCGGGATCCGAAACGGAGCCGTCGATGCTCGCTCGTCCAACACTCGGGGGCGGCCAAGAGGGGGGCGTCCAAGAGGGGGGGCGCAGATCATGGCCGGCGGCATGTGCGCGGCCGGGGGGGGGGGGCAGGGACGCAACGAAACGAGAAGAGTCGCCTTGAAATCTGGGGAAATATATTATGGCCCCCGCCGTGGTATCCAACCCCCCCCCCTCAGTCATTAGCCCCCCTCTTGGCCGCCCGCGAAACTGGGAACAGAGTCAACGACTTGGGCCTCGTCGGCTGGCTGCCCGGGCCTCGGAGGCGGCCGCAGACTCCGCAGCGGAGCCGCCGGTGCTCGTCCAACACTCGGGGTAAGCTCGGGGTCTGCCGAGTGGGCGGCCGAGGGCGCCCGGGATCCACGGCGGACGAATCGAGTCCAGTCCAGTCCTGCTCCTCCTCTCCCTTCCCTCCTCCTCCTCCTCCTCCTCCTCCTCCTCCTCCTCCTCCTCGCCCCCAGGCCGTCCTGGGGCGACCTTGAATGCCTTCCGAGGTGGTCTTGGGCACTCAGCAGCCCGGAAAGTCGAGGAGGCAGAACGACATGACACGACACTCCTGCGGCAGAAGGCACCGCACCGCTCCACACAGCTGCGATAAGGGGGCCACGATAGTGGGGGTCAGGACGGGGGGCCACGGTGGGGGGCCCACGACGGGGGGAGCGGGATGGGGGATGTGGCAGGGATAGGGATGCAGGGCCAGGGATGCAAGGATGGCATGGGGTAGGGATCGGGATGGGGGCTCGGGGTGGGGATGGGGACACAGGACAGGGATAGCGTGCATGTGGGATGGGGATAGAGGCAGAGGGATAGGGTCAGGCATATGGAGGGGGACGGCCGTGGGAGGCCACGGGGGGGGCGCAGGGAGGCCACGGGAGGGAGCAGGAGGCGACGGGAGGCGACGGGAAGCCACGGAGGCAGCGGGAGCCAACGGTCAGGGGGGCGTAAGACCCGGGTACAGGGGAGTCGGAAATCCCCGACGAGGTCGTCAAAAAAATGACGAGGCCGAGCCTGCATTTTGACGAGGCCTCCCGCTGCAGACATCCCACGAAACTCCTCCTCGTCAAAATCCGAGGCGCGGTCGTCAAAAAACCATGGCGAGCCCGAGTCCTGGCAAACCCGGGTCTTACGCTCCCCCGAAACGGGAGGCGGCGTTGCCCGACCGCTTCTGGGTCCGGCAGCGCACCTGTTGGTCTTATTGGGCTCTTGAGTAGAGACGACCTACAGAACCCTGGCGACAGACGAACTGTCCGGGTGAAAGGCTCAAAACTTGTCTCTGGGGCTGGCCCCAGTGACAAGTCTTGAGCTTTCACCTTCTCGGCCGAACACGCCCAGCCAACCCTCAAGACTTGCGACGGGGTGCGACAGGAAACAGTTATTCATAATGAAAGTGGATGGAGGAGATGGATGGAGGAGATGGATGGAGGAGGAGGAGGAGGAGGAGGAGGAGGAGGAGGAGGAGGAGGAGGAGGGGGAGGAGGAGGAGGGGGAGGGGGAGGAGGACGAGTAGGAGGACGAGTAGGAGGAGGAGGAGGAGCAGCAGGTTGGTATTCTCGGCCGGCCCCCTGGACCTCCACGCTGGCCCGACGCGGCCCCACGGGCTGTGCGCAGGCCCGTGCTCCGCGGTGCGCGCCCCCGCCGGCCTGCGCGCGGCGCACGCCGTGGTTGCGGCGAAGGCGGCGGCCACGGGGCGGCGGCGGGGCGTGCGATGGCGCGGAGGAAAAACATACAGAAAAACAACAACAAACCAAACACACACACACACACACACACACACACACACACACACACACACACACACACACACACACACACACACACACACACACACAAAACACACACACACACAGTGGGAACAAAACACATGTGGGAAACACACACACATGTGTTTGTTTTGCGTTTTGTGTCGCCCACATGTGTTTTTGTTCCCCACTGTGTGTTTGCGTGTGCTTTTCGCGTGTTTTTCCCCAAGATCACGTTGACCACATCGCGCTTACAGTCAAAAGCCCTAATAAGGACGCGCGACTTTGCTCAGGGTGCCCTTGCGTCCTTGCTCGTTCTTGCTCTTGCGGCTCGACCTCGCCTCGCCCGCCGCCCCAGAAGTCCCGACTTCGGTTTCCAAGGGTCATGCGTCCTTACCGCGCGTCCTTATTCAGGTTTTTGATTGTAATGACCACATCCCCGAAATATTTTGGACCACCCAGGAAAGGTTCACGGCCCAATAAATTCGGACTCGCTAGACCAGGACATGCAACATCGCTCGAAATAAGGTGTTCCAGAATGCGGCACGAGAAAACAACGTGCACTGCAACACTCCCGGGATAAACCCAAACACAGGCCCTGCAAGCCTGCGCACACTCCCACAGACCCGGACACAGACCCGAATCCTGCAGTGCAGCACAACAACAACTGCACTGGGCGGCCAAACCTGGCTTTGCAGGAAATGGTGTCGTTTCCCCGACCGACTTATCAGTGGCCTGGTTACTCTGTTTCCTGGTCTCTTGGGCCATGAAACATATGGAAGCAATATACGCCAGACATGCTGTCGAAATGTCGAACGAGCCTCGTCTCGCAGG